TCTGAGCTAAGTTTAAATATCATACATATTAATAGCCCGTAGTACACATGTTGTGACCTGATTAGAAGATATTTACCACCCTTGTAGCGGATTGCTGTAGCGCTGGCCGCGAGAACCCAGGTTCGAATCCTGGTTACGGCATGAGAAGATAGGCAGTTAGGCGGGCTGCTTTTAAAATGGGGTGTGCGATAGACTTACCTCCACTTGGTGCACCCTGGGCAACGTATACTCATACGGCAAAAGTCTCTTAACTGGCAGTTGACTTCGGACTTCAAACTACCCTCACCCCATTGTATGTCATATTCGACTACTTCCACAGTACTCACCCCACATTTTTCCACTTTTGTGTCTGTCTCTTTTACATCTTTGAAACTCTCTTCTGTTCCCCCCTCTCCCTCTCGACTTGTTTCACTTTGATGTTCCTCCTCCTCTGTGAAGCCTGAAGTCAATTAAATGGCTAATGATAACTTTCACAACGCCTGCCATTTGATATAAATAAATAAATATTGTGGATAAAGTGTACACGCAGGGAGCTTAATCATGATCAGAATGGCGGATTAGGTTAAACAAACAGAGGTTAATGATCGGTCACTATTTGTACGGTCGCACCTCCCAATCGTGGCGTGCAGGCATGCGATGACGCGATAAGCGATGACGTGTCCCACACCCTAAAGATTATTACTCAAGTCTAAAGTCATTGCACTTTTACTATATTTGCATTGCTATTTGACAAACTGAATTAGATTAAAATGGCTTTGGTACATTGAAGCCTGTTTAAAGTATAATCAAGACAGCTTCTTGCGATTTTCAAGAGGTAGAAAAATTTAGAGAAATCAAGAATGCTCTGAAGGACCCGAAACCAACGGGGATGTATGAGGCTGTGAAATGTCACATTTTTCTAGATTTAAGGCAATGAGAAATCCATCACGTACATGAGCTCCGTTAAAGCCAGGAGAAATAAAATAGCAAAGATCGACATCTTTTAGCATTCATTTATTTATATGTTAGTAACAGTGAGTGTAAAATTGTGTAAACAAAAGATCGCGGTGGTCGCAGTTTTATTAATAATATCCGTGACTTTATACATATAGTGGTTTAGTTATTCTGACAGAAAATCATTACGATCATTTAAAAATTCAGGAGAAGTGTGATTTAAATGAGAACATATCCAGTCATGTCTGATCCAGCGTCGAGCGTTTCAGTCACCACTTTGATGAGATTTTGGTAAGATGGAACTCAAATCTTTAACATTTCTACACCACCTGCCACAATACGGAATTAAATGTCGAAATTTAGTCCTTCGTTATTTCTTATCAAATTATTAGGGTATTAAAACAAAAATAATATGATTGATTTAGAATTTTACACTTCATCACCCAGATATTTCAAGTTGATAATAGTGAATTTGAATAATTAAAGCAGATTAAATAATCCTTTGAGTTGTCTGATTCGTCTCTTTTAGAAGGGAGAAATCTCTTTTATTCAGCTTCGAAGTTGACAGATGCATTCTTTTCCAGGATCTTAATTATGCAATACCAATGAGTGAAATTATCGAGATACTGGACACAAAGAAGCTCACCGGGCATATCTGGCATCTGCAACCAACTTGTGCCCTGACTGGGGCTGGAGTGATTGAAGGAATTGAATGGCTTTATAATGAACTTATGCCGCACAAAGATAAACCCCGGATGAAAAATTTTGTGCGCTCAAGAGGTTGGCGATGTGGTACTCTGGGCTGTTGACAGCTTAACCGCAACACCAATTACTCCCTCCCTTCCTGCTTTATTATTTATTATACAATTTAAACCACCTCTCTTCGAACTGATTTATTGTTTTTAGTTATTAAAACAAACTCTTCTTTTGTACAAAATCAAGTTAATCTTTGCAAAATTATGAAAAAGAAAAGGAGCTTAAGGGGCGGGAAACCTAATTTGCCATATAAATGTAACAGTACAAACTCATTAAAATTAAGCATTAAAATGCTTAGCTGGAGTAACGAACAAACATGTCGGAGTAACTCGCTTCTATGACCCACTCGTAATCAAAATTAATAGGTATGTATAACCATCTCCATTGCCTAGTGTGCGTCACTGAGCAACGGACTCGTAAAAACTGGCTTTATCTAAGCGTTGACCTTGGCTGATTATAAAAGCGCCTCAACGCACTCGTCGTCTGACTTCCAATGGAATAAAAAATGCACTGCCCTGTCTTTCGAAGTTAAAGTCCCGTGTCACCCAAGTTATTACCTTCCTCTCAAGTAAATTCAAATAGAAGAATCTAAAAGCTACGGAATTAAGAAAATGAAGTTTGAAAATGTACAGAACCATAAAAAATAAAGCTAAATACCACTAGTGTGTTAATAGGGACGATGCGAACCAAAATACTAAAAAAGGTTTGCTTTACTGCGCGTAAAATTCACCAGTTTTATTTCGAGGGCTGCATTATCTCATGCTTCAGTTCGCGTCAACTTGAACGTTTGAATAAACGTCGTTCAAAACAGTTCACTTTGAAACGGGCTTGAATGACGTCTCTCAAATGTGCTTATTTTAGTTTCATTTTATCAACGATCCCACACAATTTTTCTATAATACTTCATCGATTGGCATTGTAATAATTAGTAAAATATTATCTAAATGTGTAAAATTAATATTATTTATACATTAACTAATGCATATATGCATATAAATATTATATTTATAAAGTACACAATTTGGTACGATAAACAGGTACATTGAGTGTTTAATGCAATTGATTGCAAATGTAGGTTGCAAAATGATAATTGATCACCAAATTTCATTATGCTGTCACTCCTTCATTTCTTCTAGAATTCTGTTAGGAAGATGAGCAGTTTTATGACTACTATTCTTAGTGTACACAGATCATTATTATTACTCAATACTTTATCTTGATTATCATCATATATGTCTATATAAAACAAAGCATATTGCTATGGAAATAGTTCGCCTGTTCGAACATTTGTTTATGAATAATAATGGAAAAATATTAAGTAGAACACAACTACATTTCATTCAGTTTTTTTAAAAATACTACAAAATATGTTAAGCCCTAACGTCCTTGAATGTAAGACGTTTAAAGTGATTCTATTATGGATCACGATGTAAAACTTTCAATTCAAGATAACATCGTAAACTATCCTCAATTATGGCACTTTGGCTCAAATTCTGTGTCATATTCTTATCTAATTTTTCAAATTTTTTTCTAATAATATCTCCAATATTAAACATATTCCCAATATTGTTATGGATATAATAATTTAATTCGATTTTACTTTGTTTTTTGGCCGCGGATGTTGAACAGTGGTAATAAGTGAATTAAGGAAACTTGCAAATATTCAGTACACTTTGTACTCCTCATAAAATCATACAGACAGATTACAGCCTGCCATGTATTTTTGTAGCTAACTATGTCTGAAATTTGAAACTGAGGGTCTTCTTGAATCTTTTCGTGGTCTTTGGAAACTTTCCCATGGCTTGATCTATAGAACACTATTTCTATCTAGCATTAAATTCAATCCTCCTGAAGATTAAAGAAAAAATGTGAGCTCAAAATTGAAGATTTCATAGTATAGCTACTGCATGGCAAAACCCCCTCTTCCTAACTAGCTAAATTATGATAAGCTAGTATGCGATTCAGTAAATACTTTAGACCGAAATAGATCACATCCAGAGTTGACCGTGCTTCTTGAACCACGCTCACCAATTTAAGCCTATCCTTTGAGATTTTCTTTTGCCAAATGAAGAATGAAGTAGCTGAATCTAGTAGCTTCCATTACTGATTCCCTTCTCTTTCCATAACTATGGCCACTGGAACTACAGCTGGTACTGGGGAGAGCACTCATTGGTGCTAAAAATAGACTAATGGGCAAGAGACATTGCAATCAAAACGTAAAACCTTAAACTTTTCTAAGCAAAATAGAGTTAATAGAACAAGAATACCGTGGAAGGTAAGGAATGAAGAATTGTGCAGTGGTAGTGGTGTTGACGGGATTGGTATTCGTGAATTAATAATAACTATATTAGATGGAGTATTTACATTGTGGAAAAATGGGAGACAGATTCCAGATAGTAGAGGCGTACGTTGAAAGAGTTATAGTAGGAGTATTATCAATAGAGAGACAAATGAACGAAAAGAGAGAGGGAGGGAAACGTTTGATTCTTAAGCAACCAACATCGACGTATCAAGGGAATGGAAGAGGGGAGCAGAGAAAGAATGTCCACCGATATATAATTATGAAAAACGAATATTAGATATACGTGTAGGAGGAGAGGGAAGAAAAAGAAAAGAATCATTCATCAGCGGGTTTGATCATGGTCAATGTCACATTTCCAGAATTAGCTGGTGTTTGGACAACAGCACTTGCGGAACCACCACTTGAAGGTGCTGAAGGCTGCTGTTGATTATTTTGGCTTGCAACAGGGGAGCCTGAAGTTTTAATCGCAATCTGATTCACGGGCGTGGTTGTTGAGGTTGTAGTGGCAATCACATTGACAACTGAGGTAGACACTCCACTTACTGCTGCTGACATTGAAGTAGCCGTAGATGTTGCAGGACATTCCTCCCGCACTGCATTCAAACACTCCCAAGAAATATCTGCAGTTGGGGCTCGACTACGCATCCAAGTTACGTACTCATCTACCTTATCCTCATCCAATGCGTCACGAGCACGATCTGGAAAACAAACCGTACTTATACGTTATCAGTAGTGCACCTTAGTAACACAAATTATCACACCATACTAACCTCTGTGAACCGCATTCAAGTGGCGATAGAAATCCCATCTGCGCACGAATCCTTTGCGGCAAATACGACAGGTGTATGGCCTCACATCTACAACAACAAATAAACGCGCGAAATTGAAAAGGCGAAAAACAAGCGCTCAATCTCGAGAGAGTATGTGGAGTGATAAACACAAGATGATGGCGAACATTTTTTGTGAGCGCGGTGCATGTGCTCTCACGCGCGCAACAAATGTTATTCAAAATATACTCACCGGAGTGAACCTGAATTATATGGGCCTGTAAACTCTGATTTCGCGGGTATACCTTATCGCATTGATCACAAGCGTACTGCTTTCTTTGCTTTTGCGCTAAAAAAGAACAGGAGGCGTTTAAAGTTCGTTCTTTAAAATGATAATATATGCCTAGATTCAGCATACTAACTTTGACTATATCAAATTCTTCTCAAACTCCACTTATTCGAGGCCCAGTTCTCACTACTATCTGAGCACTCAAATATGTCTACTGCCAAATGACTATGGAAAAATTCAGCTCTAATCCGGCTTATTTAAAGTACGATTCATATCTTATGCTTGTACTTTAGTGTGCTTAAAGACTACGTTCTAATCAGATGTGTGGTCCAACTCGATTTCGATTGGGGGCTAATTTATTTTACCATCAGTGCGTGTAATTGATTTGATTGAATAAGCGAGATGATTAAATTTCTTTCCTCTCTCACAGTGCGCAAAATTCTCAATTTACGCGAAAGCGCGTCAGGAGCGCGCAGCATGCGAAAGTGTACGTGTGCGTCACTTAATCATGATTGGTGCGTGCAGAGATGAACATCCATAAGGCAAGTAAGCAAACACATGGTATTATCGACTTGCGCGCACGCAGTTTATGGCTTTCACGGGCGCACGTAAAACTCAGCGCTTGTGCGTTTGGCGTGGCCTTAACACAGCTGCGCACACGACGATAAGGCGTATTTTTGTGTGCTTAAGGGCACTAGATCCTGCTTGGACCAAAATAGCTAGTTAAAGCGAACGCTTTCACAACGCGCAAATATACACAGCGCCCGATGGGCGCTTTCAACATGGGCTTAAATAGCAGCGCTTTTCCAACCTATCTGCACGAGTAGGGGATTACAACGCGCACCAGGAACGCTTGTAAGCGAATATTCCTTTGTAAATAGCACTCACACTTACTCAAAATGATAAACAACAAGGGATAGCGAGAGCACAGAGAAAATAAGCACACAGTGCCTAGCACGCGACTAGAAGTGGGTTAGAGATCGATAGGGAGGCGCGCACGGGCACAAAACACACGCATGTGCCAGGGAAGTACGTGCGTGCAATTAAGTTGTGTGTTGTGTATTTTCATGTGCTAGCTAAGCGCTGCGCAAGTAAAGCCTAACGCGCGTTAACTCAAAAAAAGCAATGCAATGGAGTGTATAACAAGATAAAATACATCAAATACAAAAGGTTGCCCATGACATGAACAACAGCTCAAGACAGTGTGGGCAAGATTGATTGGGAAAAAAATATTCGAAGCCACTGCCCACAAAAGGCAGTCTAGTTGCCCATGGGTACATCCCAAGTGAAGAGAATAGTAAACCGCATTACTCGACCAACGCTTTAACCAGAATTATCTCCAAATTGTTAACTCGAAGTCAATGATATGACATTCATAAAACTCAACCCTACTACCAAGACAAAACAGCCTTTTGAAAATAGAACGGAAATACTAAATTTCAAGAGTACGAAAGTTATTGTTGAGAAAATAATAGAGTCGAAAAACTCAAGATGAACTTTTATTACCAAAAAGAGTACCAGAAACGACTATTATTCAATTGATGCCCAACTAATAGGTTGGCTCCTGCCAACAATAGGGGTGGTAGAACATGATTTCACGTAATAATGGCTCAAGAAAACCATGCTTCTCCAAAGTCAGGTTTTGTGAACACACCTCAAGTGCGATCTGGAACCCTTTCGTCTATTTTTTGTATCCGTTCTAGAATGTGTAGAAAAGCAAAACAGCATAATGGCAAAAACTGTGAGTTGCTCAAAATCTTCCTAGGTGTGATTGGTATGGCATAACTGAATCACCCAAAGTGTGAAGATCGCATCAAGGAAATTGTCCAAATACTTGGGATATGTAGCGTTGCATATTGCATGGAAAAACGATAAAGACAAAGAAAGCAATTACTTTTGCCCCATTGAAATGACCGCCATCTCATAAACATAATGACTGGACGCGACCTCAAGTGTCCAGTTTCGGGGTGATTTAAGTCCTTCTCACTCAAGATAAGAGCATTTATGAAGTGTTGTAAACGGACCACAATATTTAAATGCCCGAATATGATGATAAAATCTCTGTATGTATCTTCAACCTGAGTTGAGTAGAGAACTAATAGATTCCCCAAACCCAATCATTATCATAGTTATTAAATTTTCCACATTTCTGCAACTTAAGCTTAACCAATTTCCCATTTCACTTTGCTCTTAAGTTGAATTTCCTACTAGAAACAACTAACCTGGAGGATGCGGTTGTTGTGTTTGCATTTGGGTAGCAGTAACAGTCTGAGCGGAGGGATTAATGATCGAGATGGTCGTAGCACCTTGTTGAAGCATGTGCTGAGCAGGAGGCAGGCCAGTTGCCGTGGTAAGCTGCTGACCAGCGGCCACTTGAATACGCTGCTGTTGTTGCCCAGCCTGCTGCTGTTGAGGTTGGACAGCGCCACTTCCTTGTTGGGCAGCTGCGGCAGCGGCAGCAGCCAATTGCAGCTGGTGATGTGTGGAGGGAATGAGAGTTCCACCGCCGCCTGCTTGTTGGAAGAAGAGCGTGGGAACCATGTGTGTGGTGGTTGAATTCAGAGGTGTCCCTGTTGCGCTGACAGTTGCCCCTGCAGGCATCGGAACCGCAAAACGGGCTCCTCCAGCTGCCGCCACTTGATGTTTCAAAAGAGACACACCCACATATACACTTTGCTAAGGATGTCTGATAGCAGCAAGCTTAAGGCTCCCATTAATAGTAACCCAAGAATTACGCTATGACACGTGAAGCTTCAACGAAGACTACGACTTTTGGCTGCTATGGTCTAGACAACAAGAAGAGCCGCCATGGATAAAAAAGCCAGCAACTCCCTTTACTCTCTTTAACAGCACACAAACGAAAACGGTGAAATATGAAGCTACCAGTTGAAAACGAATGTTCGTTAAGAAGTAAATCCTCTGGCTTTATCGACACGATCAGAGATATTGGGCACAAAGATTAAATTAAAACTTTCCTACTGTTTTACATCATCTAAAAGATAAAAATATTTGAACGTCTTGCTTGATATCAACAGCGGATTCAGTGAAAAGGTTGCTTTAAAAGATCGTCTGAAAAACTAGTTGAGCAATACTTATTTAAACTATCGTGGGTCAAATCTTCCAACTCTCCCCATAAACTATTTTCTCTACTTCAGCTACACATTCTTATGGGCATTCTGTTCCAGCAACTCTTTTATGAAAGTTGGCTTTAGAAATAAAACTAGTATAATTCCCATCTTCATACGAAAACAGACCAAAAAGGCGCAAATTGAAAGGTATTAATAATCAAAGTCCGCAGGAATATCCCTTCTATACGCTATAATTGGTAGAAACCTCTTCGCCCTTCAGCATAAACGGGCTTATTTTTACTACAAGTCGATCTCAATCTAAGCCCTATCATGTGGTACAGGCGGTTGTAGAGATGCACTGGAGAAAAATTTACGTAGAGCAGAAAAAAATCAATATTCTATCGAACATCAAAGCTACTATGTACTTTGATAAAACAGTGTAGGGAATTTAAGTAAAAAGCAGCGGTGTTGTGAAAATTAAGGAAGATATTAATTCCACAACTTGAAAGGTAAACAAACCGTAGAGGAGAACGAAAGAGAGAAAAACGGGGAGTTGAATCTATACCAAATTAGGAGAGCAGTTAAAGATTAGTACGCGGTGACACGGGAAATCGAATTGCACATCTAACCGAAGTATAGACAGTGCACATATTTATCGATTATTACCTTGCTGTTCGCCATGGTAATTTTTTGACTTGATTGATTTGTGATTCTATCACACAACTGGCTCGGAGTCAAAGCACAAGTGAGACAAAAAGTTCAAATTGTCCTTGGGAAGTAAAAATTAGGAAGTGAATCATAAGTTCTTCAAATAGACGGATGGCAAGTAAAGACAGAAAATAAGAGATTAAGCCCATTTGATTACAATCTCTGCAATGTGTTCTGTATCCGGAATGAGACTATTCAGTGACAAAGCCTATTCTAGGTGAAACCGAAAACTGCTACTTGGTGGAAATTAGTTCACTCTTGACTTCGGTGATTAATTACAGTCTATTTAGCAATAACTCTATGCAAAATCTCACCAAACTATTAGGCGATGACGTTTCGATAAGGCTACAAACAATATGTCTAATACAAGGAGTACGACATGCTACATGCTACTGTTGATCGATGTTACTCCATTGACAATCCCCTTTAAATAGGATGATGCGGAAATAGCTCACCTTAATCTTGAAGGCATTTTTTATAGTCTTCAAGAAAACGAGGAATGCAAAATCAAAGATAAAAACCATCAAAGAACCTTTCTTTTACAGTCTTCCCAAAGCAACTCATCAACGAAACATGATATTAAATAATTAGATTATAGGAGATTCTAAGTAGTAGAATCGAATAAACCCTTATTTGGAATAAAGCGCGACGCGTCAGTTATCTCCAAAGCTAATAGAAACAGAAGCCGACCGATAAAAATCTAGGCCATTATCGAAACCTACATCCCGTGAACGGCGATCGTAAATATCTACATAAGAAGACGAAATGTAGGGTCTTCATCCTTGAAGCATTCAGATTTCTCTATACTGAAAAATAATTAGTATCAATGCTTTGTAGGAAGACGTACAAACCTAAGCTAAGCTCGCTAGTCGACGGGGCATTGGGTAACTAGCGTGGCCGTCTGCAAAGTCAAAGGTCACGGGGTTCGAAGCCATTCGGTTCACACTAAGTGAGTCTAACAGCCAACCCCGCACTGATTAAATCTGGCTAATATAGATGTTGGCAGAATTTAAGCAATTCATCAGGGCGGAGGATCAACGATGACAACCCAAGTAAGTGCAAGGAAATACTTCACCAAAATAGACAGCTTAGTAGCTTCTCTGACTTTGCAGTTCAGTAAGCTTGGCTAAGTTGCAAAAATTGCAGCTAGCTTCTAAGCTGAAGATAATACAAACACTCTACTGAAATTGCGAGGAAATAGATGCAACCACCCGCGTTATTTAAACTAACGCAATTTAAGATGTTACCTTTCTTCCTTCATTAGGCATCTTAGAAACGGAGCAAGACGGTAAGAAAATTCAAACCAATGAAAGTGAAAATCCCCCTCCCCAAAATGTCTTGAAAACAATTTTACAATATACAAAATTCTCACATATGATGGAGACGTTACGAATAAAGAAATGTACAACTCAAGATAGAGATAACCATGGAATTCAAGAAAGACGTGCTTTACCCCTCTTCCTCCATATATGGAATAGTTAACGTTGTATGTTCAATTTACAATTGAGATACGAATATTAACTGCTCACTTTTTGATCCTGTGGAAATATTATTCAAATATTTACGCAATGGACTTGGCAAGAACCCCATGGATGGAAAGTTACTGATTATGATGGATGTTAGATGAAAGAGCAAAGAGGCACTTACCAATGCTGACGGAGTTAGTGGGAGCCTGGGAGAAAGCAGAGAATTGTAATTGCTGTTGCTGGGCTTGTGAAAACTGCGGTTGAACAATCTGGGTCATTACTTGATTCTGCGAAACTGTAGTCTGCTGTTGCTGCTGCTGGGTATTCAGCTGCTGTTGTAGCTGTTGTTGTTGCTGGTCTTGCTGTTGGTTCTGCTGTTGTTGAATAATCTGAGGGTGTTGTATTAGAGTTGGTTGACCCTGCTGCTGACCTGTCGTCTGGATTATTTGTTGTTGGCCATGTTGCTGCTGGGTCTGCTGAATCACTTGATGTTGCTGTACTTGCTGGGTTTGAATTATCTGCTGCTGCTGTTGAATCTGTTGCATTAATTGGTCCTGGGTGAGGATCGTTGCTGTGGCTGCCTGAGGTGCCTGGGTCATTGCGAAAACATTTGAGGTTGTGGCTGGCATTTGGGGCATCTGTTGAAGATTCACTAGAGGAAGTGAGGGGAGAAAGAGAGGGAGAGTTCCAGTTATACTGTCATAAAGTCAGAGGAGATCATGAGTAGGAAAGAGGGATTACTTTTGTGAACAGCGACCATGTGACGTTCCAGATACCATCTTTGGGGGAAGCCCTTGCCACATGAACTGCATTCGAAAGGCTTGCTTTCTACAAAAGGAAAAAAGAGAACACATACTTATTAACGTACTTACACACTACTCATAACCCGGCATGAATTGTGTTTAAGGCCAGTCAGATCATGAGTATGATTCGTAATTACATAGAGATTCATATATGAAATTAAATATAACATGATTTAATGACAATAAGAAAGAGAACCACAAATGTCACCAAAACAGATAGATGAAAATGATTTCCTTTTTAATCAGTAGGCCAACATAAATTGAGAGTTACCAAGAGTTCCTTACTATCTATTCAACAATAATAGTCTCGTGTCTTGTCGATCCGCTTAAACGGAAAGTGGTAATTTATACTTAAACTTATTTCACAGTACTTCATACTCAAGGCCGTACAGTTACTATTTTCAAGTACCATTCATTCATATCTGAACGTATCAGCAAGGAAATCTGTTTATGAAAAAAAATCAAAGTTACTATTTTCAAGCCCTCATTTTTCCAAAAAATAGTTCTTTGTCATGTGAGAAGGAAAGGAAAACCCCAAAGATAAAAAGTTCATTTTAAGGACAATTATAACTACTACATGAGGAGAATGAAAGGGCTCAAACCAACCTTTATGAACGGAATTTCCATGTCTCAAAAGATCACACTTTCGAGCAAAATCCTTGCCGCAAACCTGACAATGAAATGGTTTCAGACCTACATTTAAAAAAATATATATATATATAATTTCACAAATAGTTAATATAAATAATTATATTCTTTGCTCCTAATAGCAGTTCCCTAACCACAACAAAAAATATATCACCTTAGCAATAATTTGCAATAGTCTCAAGATGTTTCCACGACCCGCGTCGCAATGCATAAATTCATACAAATGCAACAACTGGAAAGATTCCAAGACACTGTAAAATAAGAAGCGATGTAACATACTAATCATCTTGCCCTTGTTTTCGAGCCTGTTCTGCGCATTTATACCACCTTTAAAAACATTAAACCAGAATACTAACTTGGACCTGTCAACTTCAACAGACATTGCCTGTCAACCGACCCCTATCTGCAAAATCGGCCATCAACTACAGCCGTGTCTACATAAATAACTGCTATATCTCCCTCTACCAATTTTCCATAAAACACAGAAACTCTTATTCACTTACATTTGATAGCCCTGGACTTTGTTTCCCGAATTTAGCTACCCAAGCTCTTGCCCGTATAGTAATCTTTGTATGTTAATTCTGAGACGGAATTAGAGCTATATATCACCTGAACCTAAACTAACCTTTATGAAGAGCATTGATGTGCATTTGTAGGTTCTTCTTTTCAGCAAAAGCCTTATTACACAACGTGCAAGTGTAGTCCTTCGAGTCTTAAATGTAGAAAGAAAGCATTTATAGTATAGTTCGAATAATTAGGGATTAGTTTGAACCCCACTGACCTGCGTGAACTGATTTCATATGACGCTTCATAACCGAGCGTTTGCTAAAGGCTTTTTGACAAGTTGGGCAGAAGATATCTCGAATGTCTAGAATAAAATAAGCAAATTTTAAGTTTCAACTTTCGATATGAATTCCAGATTGTCACTGCACATACTATCATGACGACTTTTGATGTGATTCTTCAGGAGAAAAGCCTTAGTGTAGGACTTTCCGCAAATGGTACATTGAAATCGCCTCGCACCTTAAAGGGAGAGTTAACACATGCAAAAATCAGTTCAATAGAGCAAATAAATAAGATTTAAGCTCACTATTATGGGACATTTCCATATGATGACGTAGATCCATATCCGAGGCAAAAGTGACCCGACAATAGACACACTCGTTAAGTTGAGTAGTTACCGTGGCAGCTGGTTGAGCGACAGCTGTTACAACTACCGACTCTTCACCACCCTATTTGGAAGAGAAGTGTTTTTGAACAGTAACAAATTCGTAGAAGAGCGTGAAGAAAAATGGCTTATTGAGAGGAAAAAAACTTGCCTGCTGTTGTTGTTGCTGTTGAAGATGTTGTGTTGTGGTAACTATGGGAGTACCAACAGCCAAGGTGACTGCTTGCTGAGATTGAGCAACTTGTTGAGAGTTTTGCTGTCTTTGTTGCTGGATGGCTTGTTGACCTTGCTGCTGACCAGTGACTTGCTGTTGTTGTTGAAGTAAATTGGGATCCTGTGGTTGGCCAATTACTGATTGACCAACTACTGGATAGATTACAGTATTCGAATCGTCCAATTTTAACCGAAGGTAGACATTATCTCCACCAGGTTGTTGGAAAACAGTACCTGAAAGGGGACCAACAGCGATCGATGTTGTAGATAAGTATACGGGAAATTAGCAATTAGTCAAAATTGCTAGGATAGTTAGAAGAGAGTGGGATAAGAAGAGTCAAACTACCGTTGTAACAGTATTGTGAAGACTCACCGTCAGTCAAGTCAGTAAGGCCAGTGCACTGTACGTAAACTTAATGTGAAGTGTAAAGGAATTGATTTGGGAAGAGAGTAAAAAGACATTGGTAGATTGAAAAGAAATAAGAACGCACCTGGAGGTTGACCAACAAGAATATTGGAGTAAACCGGCGTCGGCGTAATAGCTGGCATTCCCTAAAATATTCAGAATATCGAAATAAACGTAAATACTAGAATATGTAATACGTCAAGTAAAAACAGCACTCAAGAGACATAATAGGATATTGACAGGAAATGAAGTTAATAGAAACTTTATTAGAAAGGCATTAAAAATCTTAAGTAGAAACATAAAATTGATATTTAATTATGGAAAACTAACCTCTATGGACTTGAACGAGGACGAAAGGGAAGACATTGAGGAATTTGGTTATAAACCCACTACTAAAATGTGCATGCATCAATACTGCGTTAGTAATATAAGTAAATAGACAGATGTAATTAGCGCAAAAGAAAATTAACATTGAAAAATAAAAATTGTATAAAAATATAAGCTGAGAGAATAAATAAACGTTTTAACAAAATTGTGCAAAAAAATCACAAAATATATCGTATTATAGGATTTAGGTTTGAATATGACGAATTCCCACTTGCCAATAACCGCGTAGATTTCTTAAAAATGTTGCGCCGAAATTCGCCTTATTCAAACCAATCTTTATTTCATTTTAAAAATTCAATCAAGAATAAAGTTATGAATTTATTATATCTGTTATTTATAACTTACCTATTTAGATTTTTTAATGTATTTAATGTGATACGTTTACTTGTATTAATATAAATGCTATTAATTTGATTTTTTTCTCATTTTTAATTGGCAAATTCACTCACGAATTCAGGTAGAATGATGGTTTAAGCTATGTTTATTTTAAAATTTTAAGTTAAGTCGATATTATACTCCGTCGTGAAAAAACGGTCTTATTAATAGAGCATCGAATATTAAGCATAATTCCCGTTAAGCAAAACTCTTTCATCATGCACATGCCTCCAAATATGTATCGAATTTTGTCAATTAAGTTCCTCTAATCGTTAATGTCAGGTAACGTTTCATTTCTCATTCGCTAACCAGTAGTTACCCATACATGCGTTTCTAACGGTTGGGTTCTTATATTACTTAACATTCAGCAGACATAGACTTCGTAAATCGTATTTTCGATCTACATTCAGTACAATTGAGCGCAAAAGACATCTCAAGAAAGAGCTGGTTAAACCAGATCATTTAATCATTTCCATAACATTGCCTTAATTTTAAAATGATATATTCATATTAGCTCACTTGCCTTGCGCTTAGTCTCAGTTTCCCTTTCATTTTGCTAATTTCAATTCTTATGAGCTACCAAATGATATAATACAAGCTATTTATCGACTTTTGAATAAGTTGAATATGATCGAATTTTTAACAAAAAACTGATGATAGATCCCTAAATGACTTAATAGGAAGACAGGATTTATTACCTTGGCATCCAGAACTCAGAAAAAATTCATTGTCCAGAAATAAGATATTTTTCCAAATTTAATGACGGAAATCAAAGAGGCTGATTTATTAGTACGCAATTTCTAGCAATTTTAAATTTAGATAGAGGCAACTTATTAAAATTTCAATGCTTTGCTTTTAGAGATATTTCTAAATAAATGACCGACTTCCAGTGCAAAGACAATCACGTCACGATTATAAGACATACAAGATAAGTCACATGTACAGCAAATATTGACGACGTGCGTCAAGCATTTTAAAAAATCAATCGCAAACAGCTGGAGTTTAAGCTGCAGATAATATTGCTAATTTTTGTCACACTGTTGAAATTAACAAAATGCAAACTACGCTATCGCAATACCCGATTTTCAGGCGACACCAGGCCTTAAGAGCAAGGAGATCTACCAGAGACCCTTCAGAAGACATGCAAGTGGTCATTGCGCGTCCGTTGTCTCATTCAGAAGTCCTAGCTTTGCAAAATCAGATGGAACGAATTAATGTAGATAACCATAACGGCTGCCTTCCAGTAGTGGTTCCAGGATCTGTGCAGAATGAAATCAACAGCAAAAACAGAGCTCGCAGAAAGCATCGTGGAAGATCTAGGCACCGTTTCTATGAGCCATCTATCGCACGCTTCCCACCACCTAGCGTCGCTAAATCAAAGTTGAAAATGGCTCAAGAAATGCCTTTCTGGAGACTAGACTATAACAAGTTCCGTAGAACAGTTAGCTCATTCGAAACTCGGGAAGAAAAAGATGCAAGGTGGCGTTTAGAAGCCCTTAACGTTATGCCGTTTTCAAGCTTCCCTTGGAAGACTGTTAGCAAGATATTAAATGGACCCGATCCACTAAGGAGGACTCATAAACTACCCAAAGAAGAGCAAACTGAAATCAAGCCACGACCACATTCTATCCATGAAACGACACGAAACTCTGAAGATACTGCAGATGATTCCCGGGAAACAGTGATAATAAGGAAGAAACCAAGTCCATCACCTATAAGAAAACTTGATTCAAAACCACCACTTCCACTTCAAGACCTACCTGATGCTAAGGACCAGAAGCCCTGCCCTGCATTATCAATCAGAACACGTGTTAGTGGTAATCAGTGCCACAGCTGTGATCGCAGAGCCTACAGAGCAGAAAGTGTAGAAGCTTTAGGACAAGTGTTCCATAACTCCTGCTTCAGATGCGCCAATTGCTCTCGAGTTCTACAACGCAGCGACTGGTATCATAGAGACAACAAATTCTACTGCAATCCTTGCAATCGCAAGCTTTCTCTGCAAACCTTCCGACGTTGATTAATTGTCATTGTTTAATCTCTATAATCTAATTTACTAACCTCCAACAAGCCTTATTTTTTGTTCAAATAGGTTCCTCATTTACGTTACTAATAAAAGCACAAATATGATGATTAGATATAGTCAATGTTTTATCAGCAGTATAGAGAAGACTGTAGTGCATTTGTGAGGTACTAAACATAGATTAGAAAAAAAATGTTCGTTTTAAAACCTCACCAGGAGTGAGACAAGTGTTATAAGAAAGGGAACATACTACTTAAATGTCATTTCAATAGTTCCTTTTCACCAGTATCGGAATCAACAGTTGCATAGGGACGTTCTTGCTCATCTCGAGGTTCTAATGATGTGGTGCTGAAAGTCTCAGCTTCTTGATCCCTTTTCCTCTCCTCTTTCGAAGAAGTAGAACTCTGAATATAATCATTTGAGAATTCAGTTTCAGTCAAATTTTCTTCTCTAGACACATATTGTTCAGTAGAAATGCCTTGCGGATTCTCATTTTCCCCATAGTCCATTGGTGTAAGCGTAGATTCAGAAAACTGCAAAAAAAAATATTTGTGCAGGTAAAAGAATATGCACAGTCAAATCATCAACAGCCTATCTTAGTCACCGTTTCAGCTGCTATAAACTGAAAAATAAACGGATTACACATGAAAAGGGAAAAAGAAAAGAATTACGCATAAAAGTTTGTTTTAGACATCACTGGCAATTTGTGGGGAGGATAAAGGCTACCAAAGGCTAAAATTATATTCAAATAATTCGATCAAAGATGAACACTTCGAATAAAGACGGATTGGGAGTTTATCAAATTCCTCTTTAGCTATCACCCAAAATGGGATTTCTTCCCCAGCACTGAATTTGCACGGAATGCCAGAACGACCAGTTCCCAAAACTCATCGTCAAGCATTCATATAAAGACTCGTTTCTAGCTAGTGGCATCAATGCCATTGTTCTTAGACGATTTATGGTGGCGTTGAAGCCTAAATACAAGACTATCAGAATATGATCAGATGTAATCTTTTCAACAAGTGATTCCTTTGGGTCGTTGTGAATATTTCTTTTACAGAAAGCATTCTCACCCTCTAATGGATTGAAACTACGCGCGAAACCCAGGAACACAATATAGCATATCAAATGGCAGTGCATGGTGTCAGTCAGAACCACTTAGGCAGGCAAAACAATGAACGATAGGGGAAGCCAGTTATACTACAATTATTCTCAAAAAATCGATCAAGCTACAAGACACCGAGACTACTGATGTCATATTGTGACTTTATTCCTGCTACTGCTTGTATTAGGACTGTAATAATTAATAAACTGTCTCATTCCACAAAGAGAAAAACACTAAATGTCTAAATGAGAAAGTTTGACTGCTTCAAGGTAATTAACAAATCGGGTAGTTCGAAGTATGGTATCTATTAACTAAAGGCAGGTTCACGGAAGCACAAAAATTCCCTCAGCACTAGAGTATATCCAGGAATGAGTGGTGAATGCAACTTATAACAATAACACATTAAACACTTATGATTTTAAATTTAAGCAAATAAACTCACCCCAATATCCGTAAATTCCTGTTCGGTATCAAGCCGAATCCTCTTAGCAGGACTAGATAGGCTAACAACCACGTTGTCTTCACTAGGAATATCTGAATCCCGTCGTTTGAGTGAAGCCTGTCGAATAACAGAAGATGAGGGTGAAATCTTCGCCGTATCTTTCTCTGTTTCGATGTTCAAGGAAGTTTCTCCTTCTTCCGCGTCCCTCCTCTGTTCCTCCTTACATTCACTTTCCTCGTTTTTAGGGGGCTTGATTTCAGTTATAGGTATTTCGACCTCCTTCACCTCACTTTCTGAAGTTGCCTCATCTTCTTCTGAACTGGGTGACGGTGGTGGTTCTTTAGGCAGTGAGCTTTCAGAAATGCCAGTAGCAGAATGGCTTATGGAGGAAGTTGGGTTAGCAGTAACCATGGAAATTGTATTGACGAATGCCTCTAATTGTCCCATTGGGCGTAACATTTGTTCAATCGATGGGACGGGAGATATCAGCTATTTAAAATGAAGACAATAAGATTAAATCGGGCACACCATATAGTAGACTATTAATCACGAACTTTAATTTTAAACTTTTCATAGTTATATAGTTTAACACCGTAGGTACATGTAAAACGTCCACCCCGTCAGTTATTTATACTCTTAGCTAAATTTGATAATTCGAACTGGCTACGTTCCAGATGGTTTCGTTAGATGTCAAAATGCATAAAAATTCACTCACTGACTTTATACATTTAGTGCAGAATTAAAGATTTGGAAATCGTCTACACCTCAATCAATACAACTACTGCACAAATGAAAAAATATGACAATGAATACATAAGAAAGGATCTTAGAGAACATGAGCACGCATCGAATGATTAACTGATATGCAACACAGACACCAAGTTCAAGATCACACGTTAGGCAAGAATAAACAAAAAATGGGAAAGTACCATATCACGGTCATCTTCCTCATTCTCCAAGAAGAGTTTTTGAAGTCCAGTAAGTGGACGTTGCTGTTGGGTTGATTCTGACGCTGATGGCGCTTTCGCTTCTTCGGAAATGGGACCATCAGACTCACTCTTTTCCTGTTTCAACTCTCCTTCTCCCCTATCGTCGTCATTATTACCACCATCGTCATCTTCGGTTGTTGCTGCGGCGCAAGAAATTTCAGCATCTTCAAAGATAGTACTGAAGGGAATGGCCGAGGAGCCTCGACCACTGAGGAACGGACGTTGAAGTGTATGCTTCCCAGGAATTCCAGGACTGTAGGCACCAATGAGACTATCTCCACCGAAGGATTTATGAAGACCTTCGACTAATTTGGAAGTCGGGCGCTGAATGTAAGATTAAGAGTTTTAAAAGGACAAAACCATTATTAGTTCACAAACCTGTTAAAGCCCATTCCAAAACAGTATTCTAGTTTGTCAGTGAGTATGGGGAGATATTTATTACCACCTCAATGAGTAACGCTGTTCACTGGATGAACAGCCACTGATGTGAATGACTAATTAAACGGGTCGTTTCAGGCCAGCAACGGGGAAAGCAGAATGCCAGTTCCCATCAATGTTGACATATGACTAAACGTTATTCATTTAGTGACATTGGCCAGCCAAACAGGCTTGTCTGTATACCAAAGATAACTCAGTCCATAACTTATACAGACAGTGATCAAAAGACAAGTCGTTTTTTGTTCAAGCTTTTGCATAAATCCAATCACTCAGATATTGATAAGTATTTCCAAGTTCTAGATATCTCTAGAAAGTGGCCATATTCCCCATCAACGGACGCTTACATAATCAATCAAGACTTCCGTTAATTGTTGGATCTTGATGGGACGCTGTAATCAAGGCGATCACCTGGCACAAACTGACTTTAACGGCAGCACGATAAATAAATACTCATGTTGATAAGAGGGTCAAGAAAAGACCAATATCGAGTTCGATTAATAAAGAAAAACAGTGGTAACAAGAAATATGCACCAGGTAAGTAGGCAGAGATTTCGAAATCACTTGAAAATACATCCAAAAAGGATGACTAAACAGTCGAATGGCAAGCATCTGCATGATTAGTTCAATTCCTAAGTTATATACAACCTCTACGCAATGAAATAAGTGAAGGAACGACCAATTGAAACATCCAAGCATGTTTTCCATGAAAAATCCTGAAGTAAAGGCTACCTCACTTTACGCTTATAGTATAGAAAGACATAAATATGAAAAGATCAAAATAAAGAGGATTACCCGATAAAAGTTGATACAGGGTCTTCTTGGAGATGTTAAATCTTCATTATCCTCTTCTTCACCATCCTCTGACCGTTTTGATCCACCCGGGGAATCCTCATTAGGGCCGATTTCACCAGACGTTCCATTAAGTACAAACGATGTGCACCTTTCGATAGTTCCAGACAGCCGTGGTTCAACATTATGAATTTTACTAAAAGGTAACCACTAAAGGCAGCTAAAACTCACTTTCCATATGCATCTACTGTTGAAACTACTAGACACACCTTCTCGAAACCACGAAGAAATTTATCTGGACGAGAGTAGTGTTTGCGAGGATCCGACAAAAGCTCACAGATCCGTTGGATAGTAAATGGTGTACTAAAGAGTTAAAAAAAATAATATCCTCGTAATACCCTTCGAATTGACTGAGTATTTTGTAAACTCGTTCTCTGAGATCATTAACATCGGTAGATCTCAGAACATTCTGGTGAAGATTTTCATCAACGTCATCGATAAACTCATCCATTATATGATTGAACTTCAGAAGAATTAGTGGTTTAATATGAATCCAAGGAATACTGAATATTAGAAATAGTAAGCCTTACAATGTTAGTCCATGCTTTGCAATTTCACGAAGATATTCATCTAAAATTGCTGGTGGTTTATCATCGGGGACAAGGTCTAGCAAAATCAGAACTCATATATAACAAACCATTCAGAGCTGCTAAAATGCTTTCCTTGTTTTCCATGTCCAAGAGTGTCATGTGTGCTGATGTTCAGAAAATGGCCTAACAGAAAGCAAACCAAAATGCCGAAATATAAGTTAAGGTTAATTGAATCGAATCGGTTGAAGGCTAAGGCGATAATTAAAATGAAATTCCTAATGGAATCGGTTTCCCGTGATATATAAGTTATTAAATCAGAGATATGTGTTTATTTTAAATACCTAAATAAATTATTTGTATCCGGATAATAACGAAACCTCGTTAACATTAGCATAAATGACTCTATTTTCTAATGAAATTCTCAAAGTTTCGAGATCTACACAAAAAATCAACACAGTATTTTATTAAATATTATTTATAGGAGCATTTGGATTTATTTCAAATTAATTATTTAATGACTTAACTTTTTCACTAACAATGAGAGAGTTTATTTTACATTATTCACTTTAAATAAAATGTTCACATATTTTCTTGAAATTTCTGAGATACCTGCAATTTTATAAATGTGTGAAATAAATAGATTTTAGTAATGGTTGTCAAGTGATTCAATTCTTCTCAGTTCTCACCTCCACAGAATTACAGCAAGACAGGCGAAGTCGGTTGTCACTGGTATTGAATATATTTGCGCAATATAAATACCCAGTTTGTAGAAGTAATATTAAAACTCAAATTATTTCAGGAAAATATTTTCCTTTCGTTAGGAAACGTGATATTAACTACGGCAATTGCAAAGGAATACGCATACGTTCGATTTTTATTCGATAGACCACTTTGTCGAAACAGAAACTTGAAAACATTAGTTTCAAATGTGTGCAAAATCATTCAGCTTAAAATGATCTTGCTACTGTTATTCAAATTCAAAATTTCTTGAGAAATCGAACTCACTCTCATTCATATTTGAATTCCTTATTATTTGCGGTACTCTCAATTGACATGCCAGTGTTCACCTTAGATAAGGAGCAGATTCAGTGTTTAGTTTTTTACCGTGATATAGTAATTTTTATTTAAAGAAAGTGAGTTATATTTCATTAGCAAGCCTGGAGTGTGAATGCGCAAAATATATTGGTTTATTTTGGATTAGAGGAGCTTACTGCTTCCAAATGGATGATTCAGTAACGAGTTTACTTTCACGCATGGCAACCATGAGTGAACTGATAGACTCAAAGGTATGTAAGTGATGATCAGTTATTTTTTAAATACGTGATGGGAAATAAAATTCATTAAATTTACTATATCGGTGAAAATTTATATTATCTTTGTAGAAATTGTATCATTTCTCATTCTCATTATGCATCATCTTAGTATTAAATTTTGGACTTTGTAATTTGGTGATTAGTTTTTTTCTTGGGGTTTAATAGTCCCAATGCCTAATATTACTTTTACACTAAGTTTTGCGAACATTAAAGAAACTGGGAAAGCAATTTAGTGTCAGTACGATCGAAACAGCACTATAACATGAGGATAATCCGAATGAAATCTAGCTGTCACTCGGAGACCAATTTTTTTACATGCAAGTACCAAAAACATAGTTTCGTGGACGGGTCAGAAAATATGTATTACCACAAGTTAGGTAGGGTATAATTTACCTCACCCTATCTCATTATTTCTTCTTCCCAAAATCTAACCTCTCAAGAGCTTGCAGCAACCTTGCTTCCTAATTCAGAAAGCTTAACATTTTATTTTAGTTTCCGGGGTGTGTGACAGACTTACCTCCACGTGGTACACCCTGGGCAATGTATACTCATACGGCAAAAAGTCCATTAACCGGCAGTTGACTACTGACTTTAAACTATCATGACTCCACTGCATGTCATATTCCACCACTCCACAGTACTCGCCTAAACTTTTTCTCTGCCTGTGTCTGTCTGTCTCTTTGACATCTGTGAATCATTATTCTGTCCCCCCTCTCGACTTTTTTCACATTGATGTTCCTCTCCCCCCCCCCCCCTCTGTGAAGCCCGAAGTCAGCAAAAGGGCTAATGATAACAATCAAAACACCTGCCATTTGAAAATAATAAATTATTGTAGTTTCCTACGTCCTGAGCACTGTTAACTTTTCTGTCCAACCTCCGGATCATTCGTTTTGTGCTTCATGTGCTTCAAATCTATCTGGAAGTTTTCATGTCTTATACCTGCAACAAAAATGAAGGTATATTATATGCGTTTGTGTTCGTATAAGCAGGACTACCAATAAAGATGCCGTTGATTTCGGGGTAGTATGACACCCAATCATCAAACCAAATTATTATCTTAAAATAGGGTCTGAGTGCATTTCGGTAAAAGCATAATAGTTTTAGTGTGTAAAAGTATGCAAAAGCTAGTCCATGTTCTAAAATATAGGGAATAAGTGAGTGATCCCTTCAAGTTGTCATTGCGTCTTTGGCAAGACGATCTTCGAGCATGTCTTTCTAAGTCTGATATTAGCTCACACTAACTGTTGTAGATGGGCACTTGGGTTTGTTAATTCTTGTAACCGGTATGGTTGATAGAATTCTGGCTTCTTTGTAGAGATGTTGGACTATCTCCTCCCTACTCTATTTAAGTGTTCAGTATGAAGAAATTTCTTGGGGAAATTACACATTTTAATGAACAAAAATTCGGTGTAGACGAACATTTAATTAATTACCATCATTGCATGAGCGTCAAGTATCCCATCCAACTTTTAATTCTGAGTGAATGGAACCAGGTTTGTATCGGCCTAAGTCAGAGTCCCTGCAATTAAGAGTAAACAGTTGGTAACGAAACAGAGTTACTATCCCATTTAGCTGCAAAACGTTTCAGTGGATTTGTAATTACTCTCAGTTTCCCAAAAACAGGAATACCGGCTGTTTGAGTCCATGCCGCGAAGATAGCGGCAAACTGTAACAAACGTTGTTGGGTTATTCTGCTTTACCATGAACTCAACCACCACACTCGAACACTGCGCAAGGTTTGATAAAAAGGGTTAAACAAGATTGAAAGGCACATAGAAGTAGGGAGTATGGACAATGGGGAGAAAACAGTGTCCTATTCTGATAACAGTAAATCCTGGGTTCACTGGTAGCCATAGCGCACCTAGAGTATGTGAAGACGACCATGAGGTATTATAAAGAACAGGGTTATTTTAAAGGTTTACTAACTGTAAAACGTCTGATAAATTGCAAATCTTTACTGTGGTAAGCCAAGACATCCATTGTAATGAATTAAATAGTGAGATCAAATGAACAGTTGAAGTTCAATTAAATTATTAAAGCGTAACGACCACGAGAGTGTGTTGAAACCAAGAGAAACCTCTTACCGACTGTTGTAAAAAATTTAACTCGAGAGGAGAAATGACGTTAAAATGGTATGATTAATGTTTTTAAAGTATACAAATCTCGTAATCGAAAACAAATAAATTAACTTTAATTTTTTTGATGGCTGTTTTCCTTTCATAAACGGATATAATTTGCGTAAAATTTTGGCGCTCAATACACTTCAAGTTAATACTTAGTCGTGAAGCATAAATGACTCATGATATTAGCATTAAATGATTTATTTGTACACCTAAAGATCTCTTATATGATTAGCAGAACATAACCTAAAGCGCATTAAATACAAACTCGAGTTCTGATTGGCTAGCAACTGCACTCTAATTGAACCCGACTAAAGTTGGAATAGCAACACTAATGACGAGTTTTCAAATCGAATTTTCACAATATGGGAAGCAGAGACACATCTAAACCTCCTATGGAGCTTCCACGAAGCGTTTCGATCATTTCAACTAGACTGATTTATAAAGATCAGGTCAAAATAACTACCAAGGCAGTGGATCTACTTAAACAATGTCGAAAACAGGAGGATATGAAACTTTTTACTGCATTGTTAAAGAAGTATCTAGATGAAAGGTATGGATTAATATGGCATGTTATCTGCACCACCGGTTCCTACTGGATGAATTTTGCACATGATGGCCCATGGACCCTCAATTTTAACATTGATGGATTTCAGATACTTACTTGGAAAACGCCATTTAACGAATCTATGTATCATGAAAAAATAAATTAATTTATTTCGATAACCACATGCTTGTATGTTTGCTTAAAGCACCAAAGTTATCGCATTCAATAGCCCATACATGGCATTTAAATTGTTATTTTAAAAGCTTTTACTTCGAATGAAGCATATTTTAAAAGAGCTTATTTCAGAGATGCTTTCTTTTATTTTTTAGATACCTTAACTAAAACACTTTGACCCACATACTCTCAAATTATGCGAAATAATTCCACTCATTGAAAGATTAAGATAATTTAATGAGATAATTAATTACTTGCCGAAACTGAACTTCATAATTATGTTGATTCTAATTTTAAAAAGTATAAAAGAATCCGGTAATTAAACATCTATGCCCATCTTGAATTATAGCGGATTGCTACTTCATTAAAGCCTGACTGACTCAGAAATCTCTATGTCAGATTCTCCAACCTCTAGCTAGACTCCCAGAACCAGCTAGGAGATTCTCCTACATCTAGCTAGACTCCCAGAACCAGCTAAACCATAGCCCAGCTATAAAGGAAACAGACGAGTAGCACGGAGAATTCTCCAACCTCTAGCTAGACTCCCAGAACCAGCTAAGCCATAGCCCAACTATGAAAGGTAACAGACGTGTAGCACGGAGCACGTTTATTCAGTACGTCATCGCGGTTAAAGTGAACACGCAGGGAGCTACTCATGATCAGGATGGGGGATGAGGGGAGGTTACTTTATGATCACTGTTTGTACAGTCGCTGCACACAGAGTTGTAAGGCCGCACCTGCTAGTACGGTCGCTGCACACAGAGTTCTAGTGATTGGTCACTGTTAGTACGGTCGCTGCACACAGAGTTGAACGGCCGCACCTGCCAATCCTGGCGAGCAGACATGCAGGCATACGATGACGCACAGAGCGTTAATGTGTCCCACAGAATTAAGAACATACTTTAAAAAAGAATTTAAGTTCAATATCTTAATAGAAGTAATTTTATTTCTTTTCTTCAAATCAAATTAGGGAGTTTGCTTGAATTATTGAACAGTAATTGTTATTGCTTCTTCACTTTCTTTGTTACTTAAATTTGCTTTTGCCTTAGGAACTAAAACTGCAACCCGGAGGTGTTAAAATATACTGCATAAGGGAAAGCATGAATCATGTCCGTGAATATTTTCCGTAATACCAACTTCTGTTTGTCTTTTGTCGGGCCTATCACTTGGCTCATTCCTTAATATTCAAACGATAAGGATGTTCAGAATATTTTATTGAGCTTATTAAATTCTTGTGAATAATGATTTTTATTTCAAAAGCTCATAAAAAAGTCAACTCAAAGCTTTAATGATTCCTTAAGAACTCCACTTGTACTAGTTGATGGGCTGTAAAAAGTTATAATTGAGTCAATTTGCCAATTTTTATCATCGAATCAGTCATAACCCACAATATATTAAATTAGTCAATTAAGGAGTAAAGAAAGTCGGCTTACGATGATCGTTGCTCTATTTAAATTATAGAATCTCAGTAATTTCCATATTACCCTTATTTGAACTGTTTTGTGATTCGATCACTGCGTGCAAGATTGAATTAATGACTGTTCTTTTGGCCAATTGATGTAGCTTTCTACCGTTTCATAGCCACAAGAATAGCAACGCCACATTCTACATAACGGAGATCGATCAGGATTTGACTTAGCTATTATTTTTAAAATATCTCTTAAAATATCCATTGAAAATAATAGTAGTTACAGAAATAGGTCCGTTTGGATCTACTTTTTTTATACTCAAATATAAAACACTACCCCATTCGTCTAGAGATTTTGACAGACTCGCAAGATGGGCACCTTTGTACTACAGAGAAACCAACGTTTCCCTCGTCAGTCTATATCTGTAAGATTTTTGTAAATTCACTAGTCAAAATTTTTGGGACCAATACAAATTTAAGTTTTTTATCCTCTTCTTAAATTTATCGTAATTAGTGAGGGGTTTGGGGATAGTGTAACCAAACCAAGACTGGCCAAAGGATCTCACACACATCAGAACATCCTGGAAAGTGCAATGGGACGGCTTATTCACTGCCAAGAAATTGAGCACACTGGAAGATATATGTATTCAAAGTTTGCTTTTAAAGGAGGTATAAAGAAATTAAAAATTGAATATGGGAGTTTGAATGGATTTATAGAAGACACGCACTTCACAATGCAGCTGAACAGTTAATTCATGGAAATGAATCTTAAATTAACTAACACATCGGAGAAAATGAACTTAAAAGATGGACCATAGATAAGCGGCAGGCGGATAGTAAATTACACGAGAACCACATTCTGCAACCCTTTATATGTTGAAACATATGTCAATATCAATTTAATTCTTCGTGTGGGATTTAATTGTCGCTCGTGTTAGAAGAACATGTTTGCCTTTTCAATCAACTTATTGCCAGCAGTTATTGGTTATAATAGTTGTTTTGACCATCATAATTTTAATCGACGGAATTGCAAATAGGTCACTAAAGAACGAAATGCATTCAGAGTTGAGGAGAAATTGAGACTTACATCAAGATAGCCTGTAGGACTTATTTGAATCAAATAAAGATTTAATTTGATTATTGCTAATACCTGCGAAAATTATATACAACTTTGCAATTTTCATTTTGGCAAACAAATAGTATTGCTTAACAAAAAAATCCAATAAAAAATAAAGGGAAGGAAAGAAACATATTTATTATTGAAGAACTTTGAAATTTTTGAATAAATACCACTTAGCGACTTGTTTATATTGAGTTGGTCATTTACTCATATTTTAAGTGTCAGATTGATGATTATATATTGGTAGCGTAGCGACAATGGTGGGAAATTTATACCAGAAATGAGGTGGATTTAGAGTAAAGTGTACTGTGTGAAGCTCAGTCATAAAAGTATAGGCAAAATAGGAAAATCGATAAGCAGCTAGTGGCGACGACTAAAGCTTGCGCAGCAGGCGACATGGGAGGGATACAACTGGGTTAAATCAATTAGCAGTAGTGTATAAGTCCCGAGGTTATGAAACTTAATAATAGGCCATTGTTATTTTTGAAGCATTCACTAGTGCTTTAAGGCACATAATTTGATTAGTGCTGGGAACACAGTAACTGAATGGATTATTAATTTTGAAAACTTGAAGACCAATAGTGCTTTTTATTTTTGCCCGTTAGAACAAGAACTCGTATCAAAAATTTGATTTGGGAAATGTCTAAGGAACTGAGCACATATTACACTCAAACACTTGAAAACCTGTTAACTAGAAGTCTTTGGCCAGTTACTATAATCAAGGAAAATAAAAATTGTGTACTCAATCACTCGTCTTATGTTTTGTTATATAGGTTTCATACTTTCAGATAATAGTAGCAGAATTAGGTTGCAAATGGGAAATATTTCGCATTTTCTAGTTCTCACATTTAACTAATACTTCACATATTAATTGAGCAGGCTTGAGTGAATCTAAAATATCACCTTTCTCACATATGGAGTACCAAAAACATTTGGTTAATAAAAACCAACAAGAAATTTTCTTAAAATACTCATTAAATGAGATGTCACAAGCATACGCAATTCTAACATAGCAGAGCTAACTCTTAACTGTTTTGCCGAAGTATTTGTTTAAGATTTTCTAAATTCCACTTATTTAGAAGTTAAAATTGCTATTATTGTTTATGATAAAGCAAACAAATTCACAAGTTTAAAACTTAGAAAAACAAAAAATTGCACAGAGGGGTGAAGTAGTGAGATGATCAATGAAGTAGTGGTCACGAAGTCAGGGGGCATTGAATTGTCCGCATTGTCATGTGGAGACGAGTGAGGTTTTGTGACGTCCAATTGTTCACTCTCACATTCATGATGATATTATTCCACTACATTCGGAATCGAAAAATTTGCTCTTCAGTTAGTAAAAGCTGTCGCACCATTTAATTTCATATTTTATTGCATCAAACTGGAAGAGTTGGAATAACGAAAACATAGCCTAACAGAGTTCGATTAGAGGTGTCCACTTCAAGGAATTGAGCAAAAACCAAATTAATGCTCCATTGAATAACTTTAAATAGATTTTTTACCGACATCGTGAAATTTGCGCTTTAATTTAGTTTGGTTTTTAGTATAAAATTATTACATTAACCAGATGGAGTACGCCAAAGAAGGAACACATGTGAGCCGATTTGAAATTGAAGGGAACAGTCAATCTCATGCGAGTAGTGCATCCAATAGGATCCTTGAACGATGATGACATGCCAAACCCGGCCAAATCTCAACTCCAGCCACTGTCTCAAATTGGCAGCCGTTTGAGACTCGTTGAATTTTATGGTCCTATTGCCGCCGCAAAAACTGCTACTTCCTTCTGTATTTGTGGCAATCAATCGACATGACTCTTCAATGACTTCAGCCTGGTTTATTGCTGGCATACTAGCGGAGATGATCCGAATTTCTGAAGCTCTCATAGTAGCATAGCTTGGTGGCTCTGGAAAGCTTGAATGCGAAGAATTTGTACGGTCTCTAAAGAAGGAAAATGGGTGTATAGAAGACTACTTAAAATAAAGTTCAAGTATGCAGGTCAATTTCATTTTAACAATGACCTCAATACGACACTGGACGTTGACCCTCGCATGATATTTGTTCAGAAAACGTAATCAGAATCAAATGTTACTCCAAATGCGTATTTTAACAAATCTTGTGCGTCTTTGAGATCTGATTTCATAAGAAGTTGAGACTACAGAACATCATTGCTTCATTCATTAGCAATGCGAAGTTTTGTAAACGCGTAAGAAATGATTTGACAGCGCAATTTCACTCAATGTTCTAGAAATTCGGATTTCTTTAATTTGTCAAGATTAAGAAATCAAGCTTGCCCTGTACGATTCACAGAAATTAAAATTAGAATTCGTAATTTAAAAATACACAATCGTATCAAATGGCTGTTTACAGGAGGTCACCATAAGTAAAATGCATTTATTGGCATAAAGAAATGTATAATTAGTTTAATTCTGGAAGGTTTTGTATCTGAATGAACAATTTCCGTAAGTTATCACTAAACTGACCTTGATTGTCACTATTAATATACGATTTACGCCTCTCCTGACCGGAACGAAATTCTTACCACTCTAGTGGTGTCTGGACTCAACTATTAAAACACTTGTTTGAGTTAATAAGACGTATCAAATAAACGTCACTTCTGTCCTATCTCTCTCTTTGTGTCCAATTTATCGGGTGACGGAATATTATCTAGTGGTCACATAGATCATAGCAGTGGAGAGTTGACAGTCTACCAACACAACAGTCTTGATTTTTTCGCTAGAACAATAAGTTCAACTTTACCTAATACATGTTTGGCATTACTAATGTTTATTTTACATTAAAAATTGTATGAATCAAAGTCTGTTGTAAGAGAGTGAAGCCACTTACTGTTACAAAAACGTAAACTATTGCTTTGACACTTTTCAATAGTGATTACAAAGTTACAATAAACTTACTGACATGCACCTGGAGGTTAATTTAAAGTCTATTTGAGTGTAGAATCTAAGATATCTATGATAGTTTGGTCTGGAACTCAATTAATTTGGAAGGCAAGAATTGTTATTATCAGATTATTGTATAAAACCCTATTTCTAAACGTCTTCTGGTAAACAGTAAAGACATTTCACAGCCATTTTGTTTCAAGGCCTAAAGGATGATTTTTAATGCAAATAAGCACGCTTCTACTGAACATTAGATCCTGTTTACAACCAATTTTGTGTTCAACAGTGTTTGTAACCCCTGTGGTTTAAATCTCATAAAACATACCTCTCCTCGTCCGGAAGTCCGAGTTTCTTCTTATACAATTGTATTGTTATAAGATCACTTTCAGAGGTATCAAACAGTTTCATCCATGACTGGAAATAGAAAAGAGATGCATTTGAAATGTAAAAAACACGAAGATTGAGTTACTTAAATTTAATTTGAAAGCTTTGATTAATTAAAAATTAGCATGTGCCATTTGTCATTTGAGAAGATTTTTTTGGCAAGACTTTTTTAAGTAAGACTTATTCTGACAAGGCTTGCAATCTTTGGAGCTTTACAAATGAAATTACTACAATAAATTGCAAGTTGATAACATGTCTCAGAATAGGTATCTTCCATAGTGACAATAAGTACCACTTGGAATCCACCATAAAATTTAACCAAGTTTCGTATGAAAAACAATGGCAAATGTTAAGTAAACGAATATTGGTACATTTACCTTCACAAGGTTTTCATCCACAAAGTCGTTGTTCCTAACGAACTGTTCTAGATCAGCTCTGGTAATAATGCCATCACTATCGGTATCAATCTCATAGAATGCCTGAGTAAATGGATCCGATTCGTTAAAATCGACCACGATCCCCTCACCGGTATTCATTTACTGTGTCAAAATGAACGACTGATCGGATCTCACTGAAGATTCCTCTGTAATGCGTAGATGAAGTGTCACTTGCTGATTACGCAATTATGACTTCGCTCGGACATTTCAGGTCAGTACTGCTATTGGATGCTTTTGAGGTCATGACATTGAAAATGTCGCAGTAAATTGCTTCTGCCATTTAATTATTTCCACCTTAATTCAATGATTGAACTTTAATGTTAGAATGGATGGGTTCACCTTTCCGATTATAAACAAAGATCCCCCTAATTTATACTATTTAGATATGTAAAACCTACTTCAAGTTCCCTGAAAAAGAAACCCAAACTCATTTAGTTGAGGTGTCAGGTTAGTTGCGGACTTAGTGAAAATTTTCAAGACCTACCTAGATTACCATTTCTGAGCGTGCTAACGCAAAGGAAGCAATCCAAAGCAAGCAAAACTTGGCTAGTTTGAATTCTTACACACTGAAGCTAATCAAAATGCTGAGATTAGAGATAAACTTATAGTGGACTTAGCAGAAATCAATGAAAAATTGAAAGTATACAAATAAAGAAACATTTAATTGTGCTCTTACTTCTATTTGGTACTGAAAATAACGCTCATTTACGCAGCACTTTCCCAGAAATAATTAATTAACTTTACAGATTGGAATGAGTAATTAAGAAATTGCCTCTCTTCCTCCACCGCAAATGTTATTGTGCGAACTGGAGATTGAAAAGGGGGTTCGCAGCTACTTGCCAAGAGGAAATAACAAGACGTATCTACTTTGGTCACCTTCAACATTGCTGAAATTCTAAATTAGTTCAGCCTCTCAGATTCTTGAGAATGGAGGTGCTGATTGTTATAGGGGCTATCAGAATGGAACAGGAGAAACCAAGAATTGAATATGAAATGAGTGGCAATCTGGGCTAAATAATTTTAATTTGAAATGATCTTGAATTTCGTATTCAAAAGAGGATTAAAAGTTCGAAATGACCTAAATATTTGTGCTTTGAGATCTCCATGATGGACTTGTTTCATCTGGTAAAGGAAGACCAGTGTTAGAGATTGAGTTATGAAATATGCGTGAAAGCGAATTAGGTAACCTTAAATTATTCCAATGAGGAATTTTCCATTTCAAATGTGTTCCATATGTCCAATGGTTTAAACAAATTTAAGCAGCAATAAGCCATACCTCAGAAAATTGAAAAATTATCCCACTTGATAAAGAAATTTTAATTTAACAAACTATTAATATATTATCAAACGTATCGGTTGTTTGAGTGAATGCAAGAAAATTGTCTCAACAAATGAAGGAAAAATGAATTCGAATGTTAAGACCAGTAAATAAGAAATGAATATGGAGCATAATTTCAGTGAAAATATTTAAATCTCATTAAAAAATAAACAGTGCTATCTCTTTTCATCGGATTTTCAGTTTTGTTGTCCAATGATAGCTCACAAAATTATTCTCTCCAAACTTTGGTCAAATCAATCAAGTTTAAAAAGGTAGCGTCAGTGCTGTTTACGTGTACTTTGGAAATTAACAACCGAGTATTTGTGTGAGTCAGTATGCACGTAATAGCTCGTGTGACCGATCAGCCCTATGTGTCATTATGGGTAGGTGTTACAAATTCTAGACTCATTTACTTTAAGGCTCTAACATCCGATTTCCAGAAGTTAATCCATGATGAACCCGCGTCATTTCAACACAAAAAGCGTCTACACATTGTTTCCGCAAATATTTGGAGGAGGGAAAGGTGGGGGGGGGGGGGGTTGGTAAATTCATTGTTTTGATTACTGGCATAAAGGGAATACAAAGAAACAAAATCAACTAGCATAACGAACAGCTGTATTGAAACAAACTTAAATATATGGCTCTGATATTCTGTAACTACAGCCATCCCATTATCGCGTCACATAAACAATACTGTAAAGCTTATTTTCTTTAACCGCCAGGTGGTCAATCATTAAATTAGTAATTTTGGACTTAGATGCTAAATTTATTTCCACAATGTTGTATCGAATTCCATTAATAATTTTCTGAAATTTGTCCGCAGATGTATTTTTTCCCTTCAAACAAATGGTAAAAAATAGTTAAGTGATCAGATATGATTCGGAAATGCTATTTCTTCCAGTTCATTCTGGGTAATGAATCACAGATTAATCCATCATGAAATTACCTCATTTAGAGGCCGATTATAGGCTTGCTCACATTTCCACTCTTTCTGAATTACTTCTTCATTCAGTAGAATTAATAAAATTCAAATTATTCAATCATGATATTAAGACGTTAACGGCTTGAAATTGACAACCAGTAGTAAACAGAAAACATTTTTTACAGTTTTAAGGCACTTGCAATAATGTTTTTATATCTCCCCATACGAAACTTGTCAATTACATTTTCTAAAAATCAATACAATTTAGCAGAGCTTGATTAGGAGTTCCAGGAGTAAGTGAGACTGAGTAATTGGAAGGATAAGAATAAAATAATTGCGATCAATAAACAATTTTGGGGGAATCTGAATTAAATAACTATTAGTCCAGGCATCGGTCATAATGCTGAACTCGAAGTGAGTCTTAAAATTGATCAATGAAAGTGTGCAGAAGGGTAACCCATATTTTCTGCATTCACAGATAATAGTTTCGGATTTTGTCTTAGGCATACAAAATCGCAGTCTTGGAACCAAGGGATAGCTCTCCTAGTCAATGAGTTTTAAAGACGTGTTCCAGTCGGACTCTTGTTGTGGATTCTTACAAATAGGTTATAAATGATCAGTTCCCTATTTCTTTTGATACTCTAATCACTTTCCTGCAAAATTAGCAATATTAATATCGATGTCTTATTTCATAAAGTTGGTGGTGCAAGCTTATGTTTGCACACTTCTGTTGTAAGAAACGTCAATATTGGAGTAAGACAGATTTCATTATAAAACGGAGAAGACTATTTTCAAAGATAATCAATAATACTCGGATAATTAGAATGTTAAAATTGTACAATTAATTCACTTAAATAGGCAGAACAGCGGTGGCGTTTATTGTATGAAGCAATTGAGAGCAATTAATATACAAGATTTAAAATAAGTTTTATATAAGACATTGGTATGCAAAACTTTGCATGGATTTATTTGATTGTCCAAACATTACATTTTCTTTATTTTAATCCTTTAGGTTGCATTGAACTGAAATGTAACAAGAATAAAGTACTGACAGATGAAAAAATTATTTTTAAATAACAAAGTTGTTTAAAAATTAAGCCTTTGTGTCAATCTGCTCTGTTTTGATAGATCGGGACTTAAAAAACAACTCATAGTTAACGCAGCACGCTTTTAATTGTTCTATGTGGCATTCTAAAGTTTGATTTCAAAAGCAAACCTTCGCTTATTTGTGATAATAAAGGGTGATGATGCATGAAATTAGGAGCTAAATTTAATAATCGGCTAAAATTTAAGTTTAAGATATTACACTTCAAAGTATATCAAAAGCGTCTTACTAACTTTTAATATTTGATGCATGCAACCCACGCAAGTGGGACTGACTCAATGAGCTTACTTTATGAGTCAAAAGTACAATAATGTAAATTGAGTCTGAGTAGGGAATAGATTCTGTAAACAACTCTAAAATTAAGTCCTAAGTTAAATCAAATTCTTAACATGTCCTCGTTATTCCACTCAATAAGATTCTCACAGCGTGATAATTATTCGAAATGAAATAACACTTCACGCATTAAGAAAGTAGTCTAGTTTTAGCTAAATAAATGTTTAAAGACGGGATGGTTTTTAAAAACATAAGACTTATTGCTAATTAATGTAGTACAAACTTTTGACAAGTTCAAATGTAGTAGGTCTAACTTATTCGCTTACCAACCAAATAGGATCAAATTACGGAAGATCGGTTACATGCATGAAGTCAGTTAAATTTTTTTCATGAATAATGAAATAGCACTTTGATTCAATATATATCGCAGCGCGAGACAGAAAATATAAACAGACTGTTATCAGATGACCATTTAATGCTGAATTAACTTTTAAAAAGGTGCTCAACCACGTAAATGCGTGTGTCACAGCGGTGAGATTCAGACACGATAGTGGTATCAGGCGAAGGGCATAAACGCATGGAACACGTAGCAAAAGGAAATAGTGATTTCTGTTACGAATCTAGTACCAATAGAACTAGTTTTGAAAGATGGGCATACGGTCCTTAAGATGTTAAGTGTGAATACTAGAGAAAATAACTGAAAACACTATTTGCGTAGCTTAAAACTCTTGTACAAATTTAAATTTTATGTAAAAATCCTACTTGTCGAGATGCAAAGGGTTACTAAAACTCAAGGTTTATTGATAAACATTTGTATCGGAATGTACCGAAAAAAGATCTAGATAAATTTATAAATAATTTAAAATATGGGCAAAATATCAAAATCTTATCAGTACAGAAATCGAAAAATAATGTGGTCGAATTAATATAATGATAAAAATTTATTTTCAAGGACAATTGTAATAATAACCAGACGGAATTAAAAGTGTAAATTTTAAATTATACTTAAGTGCATATTAAAGCAAATTGTGCAAATAAATAAAATTTGCTTATATCAAAGTATAGTATAACAGAAATATAAGTTATAATACGTCTCCAAAATCTGATATATTTGTTTAAACTCTTCACTTAAAACTTTATTTAACCTCACGCATTTTGCGGAACATTTACAGATGGCTTTAAGATCGGTAAAGCTTCTATCTGGTCTTATTTCGCCACTTGGGCTAGAACATATGGCATTTTATCAAATTTCATATTAAAACATGAACAGCTTTTCACCAAAAAGGAAATTTTCTAAACCATCAACCCCTACTCAACAGGCCAAGTAAATATGCTTTGATTTGTTTAATTTTTGTTTTTTACATATAATTTTTATCTAATAAATTTTATCTAGCAATACGATCAAATTTTGGTGTCACAATTTATTTTTTCGTTTTAGAATTTTGCAGTTTACGTTATTGTTGTTATTTATTTTCATAACTGCCTTAGTATATTGATGGCCTTTATTTACTAGTAAATATTGATAGTATATTCAATGAAATATTAAAATTCAAACTGATCTATTGTTTTTTACTTATCAGAAAGTCAGTGACTCCCCCAGACCAATTTTCAAGTGGTGGTAATTTTATATTTTTATTATATTTAATTTATATACGCATGCATTTTGACAACAATAATTATGTCATATTAGTATTTCTTGGGGGCGCTTGTAACCCAACAACCTGGCGTAAAGACATTGCAATACCATTTTTGGAAGAAAACGGAATCCCCTATTTTAACCCTGTAAGTATACCATTAATTGATAGGTTTTTTGCTTTAAAAATTGTCATTTTAAAACCGATTTATATTTAAATTTGTGTTTGCCAAACGTTTCTGGTTTGGTTCGATATCCGAGGGGGCGTTCATGCCATGCATGGGAACTTTCATATCTAATTTAATTTCTTCCATTCTCTTAATCTCTCTCGCACTCTATCGCTTCACATAATTTAATTCGCACAACCACGCTCTATTTCTTTCTGGGTGTAGAAATGTTAACCCACGCAAGTAGATAGTTAGGGCATATGTATGCTTATCATTTTGATTTGCATTTAATTTCCCTGTAAATATTATGGTACTATATCACGCATTTTCGCATTTGAAATTTCTCTCTCAGCATGTAGGCTATGAACTGGGGCGGAAACGGATTGATGATAATAAAGCCTTTTGGATTCCTTAAAAGGCTAATAATAGCCATTAGTCCCAACCTCCGCTCGCCTCCATTGTTACTGGCCAAATTCAGTAGTAGTAGGCAAGTGTTTGCGTGGGCAGGTGGTTGTGTAAAAGTGATAACTCTAGGGGGAATAAATGGAATGAATTTTTTGCTCTTGTGAATGCATATATCACACCCTGATCATTGCCGATGGCCTTTATCGCCTGTATGAGTTAATTATTCTTTTAAGGACGGGGGGGGGGATTTCGTAATATTTTATTTGAGTTTATTGCACCCTGCGAAGGACTATAAGTTTGTTAATGGACAATCTGCTTTATTGTTGATATAATTCTTTTTGGAGCTTGAAACAACTCTCATCGGAAATCGAAGAATGGGGGATTTCAATTAAGGTGCCTCATCCTGTTTCATCGTTTAATTAGTCTTTACCTATCGATCGACATTCTGGTCAGGTCTCATCGAAGCTGAATGGCGGAATAAGGTTAGATGCCTCCTCTCCTCTCAAAAGTAAAAAAATATTTAATTGCGTGCCACTCCACTTAGGTTTTATTCGAAATAAACCCAATTTAACATGTCTTGTAACAAATATTTGCTATTAATGAGAAAAGTGGTGGCTCTGCACAGTTAATTAAAACTGCTTTTTTAATCATATTCACAAGCTTTTTTTACTTCTCCCTACCCTAAATCTTGTGACATTTTCTGAAATGATTCACATCGAATTGTTAACTGCGATATTAGTACTTACTTGTTGCATACCCAGTCCTTAAAATCTCTAAATTATGTTAAATTTCTTTCAGCAAGAAATCGATCCATTTTCTCCAACGATAACCTATTATTCATATTCACGCTAATAACTCCTAGACTAACCATTTATCCTGCGTGAGTAATTGTATTTCTATCAAATAACGGGCTTTGTGTGATAGTCATCATTGGCCCTTTAGTTGACTTCGGGCTTCACAAAGGGGAGGAACATTAAAGTCGTAAAAAGTTGAGAGGAGGGGGGGGGGGCAGAAGAGTGATTCACAGATATAAAAGAAACATACACAGTCAGAGAGTGGGGTAAGGTGTGTACTATGGAAGTGGTCGAATAAGACATCCAGTCGGGTCATGGAAGTTTGAAGTCAGCAGTCAAATGCGGGTTTGTAGACTTTTTCTGCCGTGTGAGAATACGTTGCCCAGGGTGCACCACGTGGAGGTAAGTCTACTGCGCACCTCAGATTATTAGTTAAAAGACAATAAATTTTACATCTACTTAAATGTCCTAATTTTCTCCACCTTTTACGATTTAGCAAGTGGATGAATGGTGTCCCGATTTAATAACCAAAGAGGCAGTAGCGAAGGAGCAGTCGTGTTGTCTTCTCTTCGTTTTTGAGCCACACCTCACTCGAGCTCTCGCCAGCCTCGTGGAAGTGGCCTATCTTGCCGCCCAAGTCTCCAGTCAAACCCACTCTTCCTGTTTCCAGAAAAGGAAAAATTGTTGCCGTCCTCGCCGTCCCAGACTCCTTATCATCGTCAGACCCTCCCCATCTTTTACACCACATTATGGTAGGAAGGTCGATACTCTTGCGTAAGTCTTGAAATAAACTCCATTTTAAACTACTGAAGTCCAGTATTTGGAAAAGTACTCATAAAGCAACATGGTTGGAAGGAGGGTATTCTGCTACTTATCCCGTATATCAGGGTTAACGTCATTAAGTGTGCTCCAATAGCAAAACGTTGACGTGTACCGCGGCACAGTGCCTTAGAGGAAGTTGACACGAAATAGAGTGTTACAGCTGTCCGAGTTCAGGGGTTTGAGAGTACCATGGTTACTTGTTTAATGCCTGGATTGACTAATCGCTTGGCGAAAGGAAGTGAGCTTCTTTGTCATTGAAGCTTTATAGCACATCTTCAAAAGACTTTGAAGTACTCGTAAAAGTCAAAATATTGCAATTTTTCATTGCGCATTAGACTTTGGCAAAATGTTTTTATGTAATAAGTGGTGTGATGAGTGGAGGTAGCCTAGTGGCAAACTTTAGTCTAATTTCGATACATTTTTTGGCAAACTCCTTTTTTTTCACCAATACTTCCATCGGGTTCTAATACGCAGTGTTTTTTAGCGTAACACGTGACTTTCATTAATTAATCTTGTAAATACTTAAGTGAATAAATGGTAAAATTAGTGGCATATTTTATTAAATCGACTATCTTAAGAATATTTCTAGGACATTTAAGAAGCCTAAGAGCGTTTTTATTTGAAGCATTTAGTGGTTGGGGGGGGGGGGGGGGGGGGGAGGGGTTGAAGTGGAATGTACGTATTTGTTGCCCTTTTCACGCCAGTTTTTCTGCTTCCAGAACAAATTTTTTTGCTTATTTCTGAAAATTGTCTTGTGACTTGGAATAACACATTCTTATTTTCGGGAGTATTTACTAGAGTTTTTCTCTGTTGTTATGATTTAAAGTGGTGGTGATTTGAATGATTATGGATCACATTATAAGTCTGGTGTTTTTGAGACAATAAATAAATGTTTTGATAGTGTTTGAACCATTTACAATCTTTATAGAGGATTAGTAATAGTTAGAGAAAACTTTGTTGTAAGGGGTTCTCATCGAAGTAATGTAACTGAACTTGAATAAGCGATTCACCAAATTCAAGAAATATATGGGTCTCTTTCCATTGTTTCTTTCTTGAATATTGACCTATGAAATAATTCCTCGACTTGAATTCATACTCTTAAACAGAAGAAAGTGGTGACATTGTTCTCCTAAGCAGGTATTTGTAAATGATTATTTAAAGTGCTGTTCCATTGGAATTGGAATAACTTCCTTGCATATTCCTAAATTCTTCGTTTGGTTGATGAACGAAGTATGTACTCAAGGTAGGGTTTCTCCTTGCTATGGTAAATGTTGTGCAAATGAGGGGAAATCACCAGAAGCCTCTTATTGTGAAAGTCTCTTTTCACGTGCCATTATTTAATCGCGATGCACTTATAATGCAATAATGAATGTGATTTATACTGTTCCTCTTTGAGATGGGTTGAATGATCAAAATGAGAGGTATGTAATTCCATCTTTCCACTTATTTTTTGAAGGGAAGCAGCGAGTTTAGACGCCGCCTATGAGTGGCTAGAAGGATGTCATCTCCCCAATGTCTGTTTCTTCGAAGTCCTTGAAGATGCTCTCCGTTTCATCAATGAATTCTACTCAACTCTCTCCTCACATAACCCTCCACAATCTCCAAGTCATTCCATTTGGAAGAAAGCTAACAAAATGTTAAAGGTAAGACGCCAATCATAGGAATAACTGCTTTAATTACTAGCCCACTTTATTTTGATATGCATTTCGATACTACTTAAAACGCCCCACGTGTAAACATATACTCAAACTCAGTGTGTGTGTGTTGTGTGCAAAACAAGAAGCTCGCTACTCCTCTTGACTACATTAAACTGAGACACAAATGTGCCTGGTGGAGCACTTCCAAAGTGTGAATAAATAGGGGGGGGGGGGGTCGTTTAAGCATTCGATTAATTATTTTTGATTTTTATTTTGGAGTATGTGATGAATATGACTGCGTACGTGTCAGGTGTATGATGCTAGGCTAAGTAGAAAGATAGCACTATGAATAGCCGTGCTTAACCATTTACGTCATTGGCCTAAATCCATGTGATTTAACTTGTGATAGCCTATGTTTCTCTCCTTTTGACATTTTAAAGAATAACTGGATTCTGGTGACATATATATATATATATATATATATATATATATGAGACCCCTATATCATTCGATCTTGGAATTGGAATTGCAGACCATTAGAAAATAATGGAATAATTCACGTTCAAGGTTCAGCCTATTGGACAGGCTCTTGTTCATGATGTTCAGTATTAATAGACCAGAGAACGATCTTAAAGTTTCCATGTCTAATGTTTCTTGAAGGTAAACTAAGTTATTGTGTAAATCAGCTGCCCATTTGAAGAAAGGAGTAATCCGTAATAGATTTCTAGATGTGTATTTGCTTAAATTTAACAATAAATAAATTTATCTAATCGAAGAACGCCATACTGACATTTGTTCTTTATAGTTATTTTGCTGTTAAATTTTCTAAACGTAAGGAGGTGGGTTTATCCTTCTATAAGAGCACATCCAGAGCCATTTCTTGCTTGAGATGTTTTAAACCATGTATTTGTTATCTCGGCCTTAATCATCGGACAAGAGACGAACATATATATATATATATATATATATATATATATATATATAT